CCGCGCCCCCCCCCGCCCCCCGCCCCCCCCCGCCGCTCGGGGCGGCCCGGCGGGACGGGGGGGGACCGGCTGTGACACGGCTCCGGAGCTCGGCCCCGGTGCTGGGAGGTCCTGGCTCGGCGGGTCAAACCTCTGGGCAGCGGTGCCGAGCTCCGGGCAGCGCCGGGGAGAGATGGGAGCACAGATCCGGGGGGCGCAGGGGGAGATGTGCGTGTCCATGGACGTACACATGGATGTACGTGGGGATATATGCGTGGATGTACGCATGGATGTATGCACGGATGTACATATGGATGTATGCATGGATGTCTGCATGGATGCATGTATGACTGTATCCATGGATGTACATGTGGGTGTACACATGGATGTATGCGCGGATGTATGCACGGATGCATGTATGACTATATCCATGGATGTACATGTGGATGTACTCATGGATGTACTCATGGGTGGGAAACATGGGAGCTTAGTGCTGAAAATGGCTGTACAACACTGGTTTTGGGGCAGAGGGTGGGTGCCCAGGAGCGCCTGGCAGGGAACGAGCAGAGGTCGATGGATGGGGTGGATGAAAAAAGAAGGAGCTGAGGCAGGAGCCGAGTGGGCTGGCGGGGCGTCCGGGGGAAGGTGACAGCTGGTGCAAGGAGCAGAAAAGCAGGAGGTGACGAGCCATTAGCCAGGCGCTGGAGCTGCCGGGCATTGTGCAACCGCGTGGGCAGGGATCGCGGCCCCCTTGCGCCTTCCTGACCGTGGAAGCCACGCAGCACTTTAGCCGCTGATACGCTCTCGGATGGGTGGCCAGCATTTGCCCCATCCAGGCCAGGGGTGGGCAGGTCCAGTGATGCCGAGCACTGCCTGGGGCCGGGGCTGGATTTCCCGCTGCCGCTATCCACGTCCCAGGGCAACCATAAACATTTGGGCTGGGAGAAGCCTCCAGGCTGACTTCTGCTCCTGGTTGGCCTTCCACGCTGAAAGTGTCACCAGCCTGAGGACCACCTCAGCAGCACTGCCATCCTCACCATGTCCCAATAAATACCAGTGTCAAGGATTTGCTCTCCTTATTGCTGTCCCTTTCCTCCAGTTTCTTCGTTCCCCTGCTTGGCTGCATGGCAATGTCTATATTTTAGCAAACAAGGCATTGGCACTCATTTTGCAGGCCCTCAACTAAGAAATCCTGCCGTCAGTGACCCCTGCCACGACTGCCACGGCCCGCAGGCCGTGGTCCTCACCGCTCCCCCCAGAGGTGCCCCTACCACCCAACACGGCACTTGGGGCTTTGCAATCTGCTGCTCGTGGCAGCAGTTTTCAGTTTGCCAAGGGTTTTCCCTATCACTTGCAGACTTTCTCTTTCAGACTATAAAAAAGGAATTTAAACCAGCACTAAAAACATTGGGGCTTTATCTTCCCTCCTGAGCGGAGCGGCTCTGTTCAAGGACGCTGGTGGGAAGTCTCGGGTCTCTGCATGGCTTATCTCCCTGCTGTGCTGAGAGGTGCCCTTTCACATGGCAAGATTAGGAGCTGGAAGGACTGTGGGGAGAAGCAATATCTTTATTAGACCAGCTGGGGTAATTGAAAAAAGGCAGCCGTGCTCCTGGCTCTGCCTTCCTTTGCTGGGACTCCAAAACCCCAGCTGCTTCTTGCAGCCTCATCAGCTGCTTTAGCAGAGCTTCATTCTCCACTGCAGCCCCTTCCCAGGGAGCCCTTCAGAAGCCGCTTCGAAGAATCACCCCAATTCCTCAAAAACCACCAGCAAAATTCCCCCATGGGTTTTTGCTTCCCGTTGGGTCTCCCTTGGGACGGTTGTGTGTTGCTGCACAGGCTCCAGCACTTCCCCTTCTGAGCAGCCCTATGATATTTTCCCTGTTGTCCCCGCCAGCGAGGAGCCCAGAGCCCATGCCTCAGTTTCCCCGGCTAGGTCTTGCCGGGGAAGACGGGAAAATGAATTCCCGTGCTGTGCTTGACTGACAACAGGGAAAAGGGAGAAGAAAAGGCTCTGAAAGGAGGCAAGGGGCTGCTGGGCACCATTTAGGACGTGGGCTGCCCTTGGCCTCCGCTTCCTGCTGCTCCCATGACCGGTGACTTGGCAGCACGGTTACGCAGCAGCGGGTGCTCGGCGGCTCAGCGAGGTGAGCCAGGGAGCTTTGAGTCACCGCCGGTGCTGGCTCAGCGGGGGCCGCTCCTGGGAATCTGGGGGGTGCTGGGGGGGTACCGAGGGGCTGCTGGACGCCCAGCGCTGTGCGTGTCCCCAGCCGGCACATGGAGGAGAAGGGGTGAGGGTCTCTGTCGTGACCAGCAGCAAATGGTCCCCAGGGACCCCCAAATGGACCCAAAAGCTGGTCAAGGCAAACAAGCTGTGACCGCCACAGCATCCCCAGGGCGGGCTTGGCGCGACCCTCCACGGTGCATTTTGGGGTGCGGGCACCCCTATCCCGCTCCGGTCCCACGCGAGATTCACCGTCCCACGCAGGTCTCCGGCCTGGGACCCGGGGGTCGGGCACCCGGGCGGGGG